CGCACCGCGGCGTGCAGTCAGGGCGGGCGCGGCGGGCGCGGCGGCGCGGGGCGGCGCGCGGGGGCGCGGGCGAAACGCAGCCTCGATCTCCTGCGCCGGTGCGGCCGTGGCGTCTCAGGCAGCCACAGCAGACGAAGACGACGCTGAGCGCGGAGTGGCGGCGAGGTGTAGAAGACGCCCTCCACGCCCCCGCGCGCGCTGCTGCGCTCCAGCGCGCCCTCCAGCGGCAGGTAGGCCTGCAGCATGGCGAAGTTTGTATGAGGTAGGCGGGCACTGGTTGAGCCCGCGGCCAGCCCGCGCACGCGCGCCGGGTACACCTGCGGGACACACACGAACGCCTCGGCTCAACTCCCAGGTCATTCAAACGACTGGCAAGGTAAGACAACTGCTTTCTTCGACAGGCCCACATTTTCTGCAGTTGTTGCAGAACACCGATATTCCAAGATTTGCTCCTAGGAAGCTGTTGCAACACGGAGGTAGACTCTTATAATGAACCGACCCCTAAATCTGTAGACAGAAATAATATAATAACAACAATAATAATAAGAATAATAATTAATTAATAATTAATAAAATAATAATCCTCTTTGCGAGCAAGGTAAGACACTACGGAGCTGCGGGCACGATCCGCACACCACAGCGGCCAGGCGAGTACTGGTATAAATGTGTGGACAAACACTCGTGTTGCGGGGCCCTTGATTCAACAAAATTGGTCACCCTTGTCCATAAATTACTTCTAAGACGTTGAGTAATCAGAAACGAGATTTTTTGCATTCTTGATAACAACAAATCGATGGGCGTCAAAACGTCTCTTTGTATGTCCGTCCGACTCTGCACAGCTGGAGCCTAAACTCATCAGAAGATTTTATACAAAATTAATATTCCTCTATTGAACTGGATGAAAGCCTCTGCGAGTTTGAAGGGATATTTTGACTTGGAGAATGCTTGATATGAAGGTAGGAATTTTGATGTGGTATTATTGACGTAATTACGTGAACACCCTCCACACCATCAAGAACAGTTTGAAAGTTGTGTCCAAATTTCAAGACGTACATACACCGGCCAATACTAAACTGATTTCCTTTGACGTGACCCAAATCTCCAGCACCCCGACTCAAGACAAATTAATTTTACAAAACATCCTTGATGCATGCAAAACATCCTCAAAACATGCTCCGTACCAATACGAACACAACTATACAATTTGATCTCACTTTTCATTGACACTAGCTACATTATGATCAATAACTCCAACAAACAAATCTCTGGTTTTCCGAAGAGGTGACCACTCTCACCACTTCTTACAGACTTTTAATGGACAATTTTGAATCCCTCTTGTTTGAGACACATCCCCTTCTACAAAATTGAATGTCCTGGTACGTCGATGCCATTTTAGCTCTATGGACCGGCACAAGACATTGCAATCTCTTCGTCGAATTTCGTAACTCCGGACACCAATCCACAAAATCCACAACGGAACTGGAAAATCTATCAATTAATTTCTTAGACCTAACCATCTCCAGCGTAGACAACAAAGTCATCTTCAATGTTTTTAGAAAATCAACACACACAGGCACTGCCATCCACAACACATCCCAACATCCATCTGTTCACAAACATGAGACTTTCCATGCCATGATTCTCAGACTTGTCAGCCTTCTCTTATCACAAGACAATTTTCAAAGAGAAACGCACACCATTAAAAATGTAGCCACCGCTAATGGATACAGTACCACTCTCTTGGACAGTACCACCCAGCAAATTAAACAAGAAAATACTGGAAACTTACACAAGCCTCGCTCCACTCACCCAGAAACCATCAAAATGTATTTCTATTCCGTTCTTTGGGAAAATATCACAAAAGGTAGCTCAAATTCTTCTCAAATACAATTTTCATGTTTCCTTTACCACACACGAATTCCTCAAAGACCTACTCTGACCTCGCAACATCACCACTCTCTTGGCGAAGTCAGAAGTTTATGAACTCCAATGCCACAATTGCGAAGCTAAATATATAGGCCAGTCGTGCCGAAGCTTCAATGCCAGAGTTAAAGAACATGCACGCAAATATAGTACAAACTGATCGAACTTTGCTACACATCTCATAAACATCGGCCACACTTTCCACCCCGTCTCCGACATTAAAATTCTTGAAATAGAAAATAAATTCTGAAACAGAGGCGCTTTAGAAATTTTTCACACTTTTCATGTCAAGCAGAAATCTGCGGATCTTCTTCTTCGAACAGTTTAATTTTCCTGTATCACCTTTGCTTATGCTTTTTCGCACTCCTTCCTTACCTCCTGAGACCTTCGCAACGAGACAAAAAGCAGATCTCCGCCGACACCTCCACCTCGCATCGCCTCTGGGCTGCCTCCGCCTTCGGCGCAGCAGCGCGGGAGCTCAACTTCTTTTTCCACTTCATGCCAGATCATGTGTTTCATATTTTGAAATTTGGAAATTTATTAGTCTGTAATAATTATAATTTTAAATACCATTATTTATATAAACCCTTTTGCATTTTATATTTGTCATTTTATTTTCTACTGGTCTCTATATTAATACTCCCTTGCATTTTATACATTGTAATTTAATTTTATAATTATTACAGTTTAAATTTATGTATTATTTTAATTAATTCCCTTAATTTGTCTTATTTTGTACTCATTTTATTTATGCTATTTTGTTTATATTTTTAGACTGACGACGATGGCATAGCCGTCTCTAAATAAATATTTTAAGTGGACAGAGATAACATCGTTTATTTCTTCATTAATATGAAGGCTCAACATTTTCAAAAAATTCTCAAAAATGGCTGCATGCAAATGTTCAACTGTTTGTCAGCGTCCAGAAGGTTCTGCTTCATCGTGAGAGCGGTGGAGTAGGGGTAACGTAATGAACTCTAAGGAGACGGAGAGAAGCTTTTTGCTGGTTGGAAACAGGTTCCTGAAGGATTATAATTAGAGCTAGAAATTTGAAGTGTTGTGCATATTTATTTTTGCTTTTAGAATGCCCAAACGATATGTCTGGCAAGGATAATTAGAAATATACATTAGTAAATGTATTTTAATTGTACCTTTGGCGCTTTTATCCCTGTCTTTCCATTTTTGCACACCAACTTCCCAAATTCTCACTAGTTGGATAGCTTGAGTGAAGAAGTTATTTGACTCTATTTTAAGAATCCACTTTTTATAAATTATAAAAAATGATTCTTCAGCCTAAAAGAAGCCAAAAGTATAGTAGGCAAATAAGAGTAGCAAGATTAACGTTTTTAGTTGCATGGTTACTCTATTCTCACCACAGCTATAAAATCTGTGAATGAGCAGTGTCCAAGAAAAATGCACAATGCGTTATTTTGATGGACGTGAAAGAAGCACTGGGGAACATTCGAAAGCAACGGCTATGACGGAGAAGCTAGCTAAAAATTCTGATGTCGAGGAGAATTTAAATTACCGACTGCAAAGAAAATATGAATCACTTTAACCTTACTTTTCTTTACATAAAAGTATCAATGTGGTGACAAGAGACGTAGTTTAATTGAAAAACACTGAGTACTTAATAATTATTTGTGCACCAAGGGCGTTCTAAGGGTTCTAATGACCGAGTAGTGACAAAGTGCATGATGGTCTTTGTCCAGAGGGCTCTTTGTCGTCAGGGATCATTAGAACCAGTTTACGCCCGTAGTACATCCATCATTGTATTTTTAACTTTCCCGTATAGTACGTATGTACGGAGTAATATACGCAGTATAGGGAAAGTTACGGAATGCGGCGGAAAATCGAGTTCGAGATTTCAAAGGAAAACCTCGCCTTGGGGTGCCCTGATATCGACAAAGTGGTTCTTTTTAAAGCGTCCGTCTGCCAGTCTGTGAATACCACTAGCGCCTAAACCATATGTAGGAATTTTCCTTAATTATAGAATCTGGCTCGAGTCGAAGCATTAACAATGTGAAAATTTTTCTTTAAAATTTAGGGGTACTTTACATGAAGCTCCCTGGACATTTTTAAAATCTACTCAAAAGTGACAAACGTTTTTCTCTAAATTCCTTGTAAGAATAGAGTAACATACTGTAACGATACAAGCCGATGGGCCGAATAATTGCCATGAAAAAAAAGAAGGAAAAAAGCGAGCGCCCGCGACGCAGCTGCGAACGGGGGTCATAGGGAGGGGTTGTATGAGGTTTGGACACCCCCGCGCGGTGCCGAAGGAGGGTTTGTCGGCAGCCGGGTCCTCGCCAAATGTCAAGTGGGATTATCCTTTTCACCTACGCGACCGCTCGTAAGTAAAGTGAACCCAACGCTAATTGCGCCCCCTCGGGAGACAAATTTACGACCCAACGGTCAGCGGCGCACGTGCGGATGCGAAGTAAACAGACCCGAAGCTTTTTTATAAAGCAACGGACATTCTGACCGTTGAAAAAAGAGTTCCTGTGTGACACACGCCTCCACCCTGCTCCGCGAAATTCAATCCCGCGTATCGGGAGGAGACACGCTGTTTGAGGGACGGGGTACCGAGGTTTGCTGTTACCAGGCCGCCGCTCTGTAGTCATGCGATTTGATAGTTCGGCCACGAGCACTCGATTCGCCTTGTTTTCTTGACTCGGCCACGAGTGATCATTGGAGATCTTAGCTCGGCCATGAGTAACCATTCGATTTCTTGACACGGCTACGAGTAGTCACTTGAGTTTTTTAACTTAGCTCCGAGTATTCACTTGAGTTCAGTAAGGCATTGACTGAAACTCAAGTTGTTAACTTCACTTCGCTTGCTCACTTAACCTCACGTAGCATTCGAAGCCTCTTGCGGAGGGAAGTTGACCCCTCGCGCACTCTGTCAGAAATTCAGGCGAAAAGGGATGGAGTCTCTCGCCTAAGGCAATTTACCGCGTTATGACAATCGCCCGCGACTGCTGATACGGAAGTCGATTGACTTCCAATCAATCATCGCCGATGAACACCGTTGCTGCCTGAGGTTGGTGACGCTGGGAGCTCCTGTGTTCACCGCCTCTGTCTGGAAGGGGGCTGCCCGCTCCAGGACGCAGGCCGACGTCTCCACCACCGGGCGGACTGTGTGCCCGCCACAGAAAACGAGGGTAATAATCCGCTTGGCTCCGCTCCCGCATAAATGCGGTCGAACACTTGCTGAGCGAAGCGGGGGGGGGGGTGCCTTCAGCACAAATATTTAGGATGACCCATTGCTTTTTGTAATTAATTTAATAGATGGCTAATGTTCTAATACCAGAAAGGGTCGTTTTTTTAAAAATTATTGTAATTCATGTACATCATCATCATCATCATAGTGAGTAAATGTTTATTACTGCAAATGTTATATCTATTATTGTTGAAATTCCCGTTCCCATTCCAGCCACACGACTCGTTGGGTTACAATACACTTCTGCATTAAAGGAGGCATAGGCCCTATTTTCTCAGTTAACTCTTCATTTCCGAAAATTTCAAATAATTGAATTTTTTTCGGCGACTTCCTAAAACTACAAAATTGAAGATAGAGATTTTTTTCTTTAAATGAAATTGGCTATCCATAATTAGTTCTTTCATTAAGATCAGGTACATTTTTTGAAAATTTTAATACTTTTCGCCCAATATTGCGTGCAATTAAAAAAATACAAAAACAAGATTTTCTCAATAACGGCTCCAATTTTTTCTTCAAACTTTGGGAAGGGATTAGTGCTATTCGTACATGCATTCTATAAGATGACATTCGCCATATTGCTCTGTTTTGTTGTTTTTTATTACAAAAATGTAATTTTTCACTTCTCTCACATCGTTAATATTTATACTAGTGGCAATTTGGTCATATGATTGTATTTATGAGAACATGTATTTGTATGTATCCGCAGTATTGTACTTACGATTGCTTTAAATAATGTTGTACAAAGTTTCTCGGGAGCTCTACATTTTGCATTTTCAGAAACGTTCAAATGCCATTTTCTCAAAAACTGCTCCAAATTGTTTCTTCAAATGTTTCGAACGCATAGTGATAATTGCGCTCTTTAAAATGACATTATTTTTATTTCGGTGTATTTCTTTTTTTTTCTTTCAAAAATTACACAAATGTAATTCTTTTGAATTATCTTTCACGTCGTTAATATGCAAATTTACAGCAATTTGTAAACACTATTGTATTTGTGAGGTAGGTACTTCAAATGTCTTGTAATTAATTTTTTTTTAAACTCAAAAATTATCTGTGAAAGAGAGTTTGAAATTTCGAATTCACAGTAGCGCTTAAACACAATTTTCTTAAAAACAGCGCCAAATTTTTGAAAGGAAATTTCCATTTGGGACGAGGTTTTACTGTTCTTTAATATTCTTAAAATAATATTTCCGTTCTACTATTAGAAAACCGAAAAATTAAGAATTTTAAACACAAAAGGAACTTTGGGCGGCGATAGAAAATGGGCGGCAGCTGTCAAAAATATGTGGCTAGTTCCTATAGCTAGCCGAGACCAGAGAAAATAGAACCCTAATACGAGAAAGTCTGTGCCATTCTGTAGCACCATTAGTTACCTAATTTTATAAATCCAAATTTTCAGATTTACTTATTTACTAATTAACGAGATGTTAAGAGGTGTCTCTTTTTTTTCACATTTCCCTCTCATAACTCCCTCCATACGAGAACATGTAGCATCATTCAACAGTTTTTATACTTTCTTCGTAACTACGATCCTTTTGATCCAGGTAATTTACGCAGTGAATATTCAACTCCGTATCGAAGGCGAAGAAAAGCTACAACGTATCAGTAAAAAGAAAATAGTTTTTTTGTAAATTTTCGTGAAAGTCATTTAAATGTATTAACATTTCTTGTAATGCATTTTGCCAACCCAAGAATCATTTGTCCGTTTCATGTAACGTATTTTGAAGCCTCGCCCTTCCCCACAACGGTCTCAGCTGATTGTTTGCGTTGGGTTCTAAGCTCTTGGTGCTCACGCTTTGTATATTTGTTTTACTTTCTTTTTGTTAGATCTTTTGCTTAAACTGGTGAGTCTTTATTTTTGAATAAATCGAGAGCTATGTTTGATAGTAATGTATGATAGCAATGGTTTATTAAGATCATCCCCATAGCTTCTTATTCACATTCTTTGTGACATTTAATAATAATTTTCTTCTTTCACAATGTCTAGCCTGAAGATGGGGAAAAGTGAATTCACCGAAATGTCGTTCTGCAAGTCTTAATAATTTTTCAATGATGTGACTACAAACTGCCAAATTCGTTGAATAATAATTAAAAGTTATTTGTTCGATAGTTTTCTAGACATGTAATTTTTAAAAACAATGTATTCTGGGATTGGGTTTTCAATTCGCGATCAAATTTCGTGTCCTTTTAAGTAGTTTCTTTGGTTTTTGGTAGTCTCTATGAATATTATCATTTGCTATTTGCACCTTTTTCTAAAGAATTTGCACATATTCCAGCTAAATTAACGCACTTTTCTCTTAAATTTTTCACCTGAAATTCCAAACTCTGACTACAATATTATGTAGTTGATTGTATATAATTCGAGAAAATTGTGTTATTGTAGCTCCACTAATTTTTATAGTTGTCTCAATATCTAGCAATACTTTTAAAGTTTGGTCAAACCTACGGTGTTTGTATCAAGTTCCCGGTTATGTTGGTAGTCTTCAGTCCAACTAGCTCCCGAAGGTCCTACTGCACACTTCATGTATCGCGAATTTCCGCCTGGTTATAAGACCAATTCTTTCAGACGAAAACGAAAATGAAATTGATGAAAAAGGGAATAACTCGTACGAAGGTCGAACGGAGAGGAGGTGTAGGGACTGGATGGGCTCCATAGAGCAAAGCGGAGACATTGAAGCGCTGAGAGAGCAATCGACGAGCACATGACGCTCACACTTCAAGTAATGTTGCCTTTTGAATTATAATAGAAATATGTGTTGTCGATATATGACTGTGAAATATGAAACTACAACAAATAACACATATTTGATTTGGACCCTAAATATTACAATTGCTTGTAAGGCTGATAATGTAATTCGCTTTGCTACTATGTTTTCACAAATATAGTGTTTTGCTAAACACAAAATTATGATACTGAATTGTTTTTGTGTGATGATGACATCATTAAACTACATTTTCATTACCTCTGTTTAATTCAACAAGACGATTCTCTCAAACCTAAAAAAATACTATTCTTCAAAAAAATCATGATTACTTTCTGCTCTACTTTCTGACAAGAGTACATTATATATTTCTAATGTCAAATCAACGAAAAGTATTTGGAGATTATAACATTCCGGGTGAACTATAAATTATTACATTGTAAATTTTTGTTAGTTAGAATTTGATAATAAAGTTTAAAATAGGCTACTACTTTATAATATTGCTTAAGAGTATCAATGAGCATCAGCTAAGAAGATACATACAGTGGATACAAATGTGGAAACGCAGCAGTGTACAGAAGAACTTAAACAGTGAATTATGGTCCTTGCGGCTTAAAATACGGGACATGGCCCATTTAAGTAATTGGGAAAAGTATTTCAATCTACGCGCCGCGGCTGGCAACGCCAGCCTCTGCCCTCCCCAGAAACTCCTCCCCCCCCCGGCTCTTGCGGCAGGTGCTGTGCAGGCCTACAAACTTATCAGCCACAGATTCACTACGTGTTCAGAGATATTTCGTTCTTTCAACGATTTGACAAACAAATCTTCTCCTACCTCAAGAAAAACGAAATCATTCTGACACATACATAAGAAGCAGCAAAATTGCTAGGAGGCGAATTTTCAAAATGTCACACCTGTTGAGTAAGATTATTGTAAAATTGATGAAACCAAGCTCTGCAACGAAAAGAATTGTCGACAAAATGCGGAGAATTTAGATAGGGATGGTTTAGAGCGATCAAAAATTTACTTGATACATTCTTTGCGAAATCATACGAATATTTGTCGCTCCTCTAATTTGCTGAGGATCCGCAATTTAGTAGTATGAATTTAGTTGACTGGTGTTATTGTCAATTACGTAATTTGAAGAAAAGCGTCAAGGGAAAATGATCTTTGTTAAAAATTATCACAGTAATAAGATTATTTTCTGAGTGATCTGACACATTTAGGATAGTAAGTATCAAATTGAAATATTTTTTAATTTTTACTCCATTTATGAACAAGTATCTGCAAGTTTATATGCATTAACAGCGAAACAGTTTAAATACGCAATTTCCGAAACATTCAATCACCAATTTTGAAGTTCCCCAACGGCACATTCGCCCGTGCAACTTAGCGTCTCGGGATCTTGTACCCACGTTAGCGGGTTCAAAGCCGATCGAAGCCGTGGATTTTTAAGGGCGAAAAAATCCTTCGTGCGGAAGTAATGCCAGCTGTATATGTTTCATATGTACTGCATGTAAAATTAAAGTAGCCTCTTAGCTTGGTCGCCCGAGTAATACATTCTTTCTCCGCTAGATGGTGAAAGGATGGTGGGGAAATTTGCGTGGTCAGAGGGAAGGGCGGACCTAATGGCCCGAGTCTCACCAAGTAAACTAAGGCGTTAACAAACATCGGGCTAGCAATATGACCCAAAAAATATTGTACGAAATATTCCAAACGATAGTTGAAGATCAAAAATTGCAATAGTACTACCAGTTAATTGGAGAATACTGGGTTTCTTGTCTCAATATATAGAAGATGTTATATATTGAGGGCTCACCTCGCCCACCATGGCCCAGGGCAGCGTGTGAAGGCCGAAGGCGCCGGCTACCACATACAGAACCAGCATGGCCAGCGGCAGTGAGGGGGCGTGGTCCTCTCCCACGTGCAGGTACACGGCCAAGGCCAGCAGCGGCACCGTCTGCGCACGCGCGAAAACATGCCAAGCCCTCGACCGGTGCGGGTGCCGCAGTTGGCAGCGAAGGGCGATTTTGAGGTTAGAGCGCGGATTGGCGAAGTTACTGGTTGAGGCGGATTTCGTTACTCTCTGTTGAGTTGTTTTAATTTTTTTTGTAATTATAGATATTTTTTCTATTAATGCGTAGAATTAAAATTCCCTCAAACATAATTTTATATATTTGTTTGTTTTTGATGAAATTTTATGTAGTTGTTTTTACTTTATCGCTACCGTTTACGAGTTTACGAGTCGAGAGAAAGCTACGTAATGCTGCGTAAAAACCGCGGCGAATTTTAGGCAGAACAAATCATATTGCTGGGCCCTGGTAACGAAAGAATGGATAACTCCTATTACAAAATTTATTTTTAAAAAATATCTCGCGTAATGTAGCGAGGAGCCATGTTTACGGTGATCCTTGATACCGAAAAATCGAATGACGGGAAAATGTATGTTTGTCCGTCCGTCCATCTGTGTATCTGCCCGTGCGTGGTCAACGCTAGCGACTAAATCTTTCAGCCGTTTTCCCAAAATTGATATTCCACAATCGATCGGATTGGTGTCGTGGCCCCTTAAATTTGAGACCAATATTTTAATTTTGGGGAGAACTTTACATGAAGCCCCTGGCAATTTTCAAAAAAATGGCTTCATTAATTTTGATTGCATTTTGATGTTGGATAGTTCAATTTTTTTCATCTTCGTACAACTAAGATATTTAAGATATTTTTCTTAATGAAATCTATTCTTTAAAGATAGATTTTGAAATTAGGTCAAGTACAGTTTTTCGAAGATTTGATTATTTTTCGCGTGAAGTTTGTTTACATTTTTTTCCAAAAATTGCACCGAATTTCTTAATTAAATTTTGACTTTGGATTATATAAAGGACGCTTAAGATAATAACGTACGGCTCACGTTCGTTGGAAACTCTTATTTTTCGAAAATTGAAAAAATTCAAATTTTTTCCAGCATCTCTTAATTTCTCATTCTCTTACTGAAATATGTTCCTTGAAGATATATTTTGAAATAAGGTATGCACAATTTTTCGCGTAATTTGGCGTGTATTACGAGTGAGAAAGCACGCACGTTCTTAGTACCTTTCGTTCTGTCTATTTTGTCGTTTCTGTGCACTTTTTTCGTTGAAGCCCCAAGAGGAAGGAGGTGGTACCTGTGCGGCGCAGGCGCCGATGGCGAGCGGCCGCCGCCCCAGTCGCGCCAACGAGAAGCTGGCGCCCGCGCCCGCCAGCACCTGCGCGCCGCCCAGCACCACCGTCGCCTGGTAGCTGTCCAGCGTCACGCCCGCCTTGTCCACCACGTGCACGGCGTACGCCACCAGCACGTAGATGCCTGCCGGCCAAGCGAATGCTCGTTACTAGGGCCCCGATCCGATGTGACAAGGCGTTATTTCCATGGAAAATGTTAGATAAATGTGATATGATCTCCAATGACTAAAACTATGCAAATTTCACGGGTCATATACAATCATATTTTGGCGTTTTTTAACCCCAGAGTCATTTACTGTTAATTTATATAATGGGCATATTTTTCCATGAAGTTTCGTATTTTTGTTTTAGATTCCATTGTTGCATATGTACCTGCAGTCGTCTCAAAGAGATTTGTCATAACTCTCTTACAATTACAATTATTGTCCGTTCTTACAATTATTGTCTGTCATTCCTAGTATATACGTGTGTAAATTAGGAGGGCAAGCTACTGAAATAGAAAAACAAAACGTAGAAAGCATCAGATTCGAAGGAAAAGTTATTTTAGTTTTGTCAGGTTTTGTGCCAAGGTCACCCGCTTCTACAAAATGTGTTTAATAACATTAGGGAATGGAATTGTCTTCACGGGGCGCCAAAGGAGAAGGGGTGAATTGTGAATGTGCTAGATTTTAAAAGTATATTTTTCAATATAATGGCTATTAAAACATCATGTTTACATCGGAACATTTTGTTACATCGGTAATGTAACAAAAAATGTTTCATAAGTAGTCCTATGTATGGACATATTTTTATATTTTATTCGTTATAACATGCATATTTCTATCATTTTTAGGTCATAAACATTCGGACCCTATTCGTGCGATTTATGGATTGAGTATTGATTCCGGGTGCTTCAACGGCGAAGGCTATTAGTCCTGTAGGTGTAGTACATGTTTTAAGGCGGCGGTGGCGGTCTGCCTCAGCTGGATGGCGAGATCTCCCGAACCAGGTATCTCTCAGCAGCGTGGCACCGCCCCCGATGTGTGGTAGTGTAGTGAATGTAACGATATATTTTAAGTATATTTGACAAAAATATTTTTTTAATCGTATGGCTCGAGATATTTTCCTCTGCAGACCTCTGTTTTCCATGTCGGCGACGACCTTTGCGTCCAAAAAGTCGTCTCAGTTATTCTTGTAATTAAGAATAAGTATTTTGGTATTCACGGCAATCGGTTTTGGGCATATTGTTATTGGAGATTACTAGATATTTTTATAGCACACATTTTGGACATTTCGGACAGAAATACTTTTATCTCGACGTTTTGAATTGACGCTTTTGACTGTTGGCCAGATAATACTAAAACTGTGAAAAGCTATAAAGCTCAGAGGAATTGCCGATGATTCCCTACAAATCGTCATTGACTTGTGATCTAACATCACAATATGCGTATTTTTATTGTCGACCCATGGCATTAGACAACTGAGAAACAATATTGGGGTGAGGAGACGTAGACTGAGTAAATACCAAAATAGAGACTCCCCGGGCAGTTCTGAAAATAATTCCAAGGGAGATTTTGGTATGTCCTAGAAGATGTCGGTGTTCATAGTAGAAAATAATATTCATTCAAAAGAATTTGACGGGAAGCGGATGTGGCTCACACGTTAAACCCTAAGCAAATGCAATGGCTGGCTAAGATGAAAAGAGACCTTGATAGGGTACTAAACTCTTAAATAGATCCAAACTAAAGTCGGAAAAGGGACAATTGGTAAGCAAATGGATTCCAGGATTTGAAGCATTAAGAGTACATGAGAAGACACGCCGGGACAAAGGAATGGAAGAGGCTCCTATTGTACTGGACTTCTATGCAACGAGGATTTCCTATCGAAGGTTTCTCGGAGGTTGGTGCTGCAAGCGTAGGGAACGAAGAGTATTCTCACTAGAAGGTCTATCATAGATTTCCTGGGGTTAGCGAGGGAGACTTGAAAACAACCTTGCTCACTGGAGACTGATCATTATCATTATATAAAGCAAAATACCCACCGTTGTCTTCATAACGATTCCTTGTGGAAGAGGAAAAAGAAAATTTTATATACACCACGGTGATTGAGATTATTTTTTAAAATTTAATTAGTTGAAATTTCAATAAAATTCTATAACTTTTCAAATTTTATTTTACAGTACATTGCTATTAAATAAACAAATTATCTTAAGAGCTTCTTCTGGCCTCTTGTGGATCTGTTAAGTACCAGTTCTGCTGCACCGCTACTGGCATCTTGTGGGATATATTAGGAACCAATCTGCTCTTAACTGCAGGGAAAAAATAATGATCGTGATGTATCTATCAACGTATTATTTAAATTAAGTATTCCGCATTTTTTAAATTTTCCTCCAAATATTTCGCCGAGCGGGACATCGCTTCCAGACGGGACAAGCACTGAAGTCGGCCCTGACTGCTCTCCCGACAAATATGGTAGTCTAGTGATTGTGAATGTGTCTTTAGGACGAGAGGAAAGGGCAAGGACGAGGAAGGAAAGATCGCACGCTGTCCCTGGTCCGTTTGTTGGGGTAGTGCTCCGGCATTCGCCTGGTGCTGATCGGAGAAACCACGGACAACTATCGATCAGAGCAGCCGGTCGCTACAATTCTCCTCCAGACAGCTTCTGAATTCGACCTAACTGACTGTGTGTCCTGGCACTTATGGTTCCAGCGGTGGGAGGTGGGAGAACATGAACCACTCACCTGTGATCTGCTGGAAGAGGAAGAAGCCGTTCATGATGAGCAGGGGCTTCCAGGCCTCGGGGCGGGCGAGGGCGGCGAGGGCGGCGGCGCGAGAGGGGGGGGCGCGGGGCGGCGGGGGGGCGGGGGGCGGGCAGCGCGGCCAGCTCGGTGGCCGAAGGCGGGCGCCAGCGGGCGGGACGGGGAGCGAACCCGCGCAAGGCGCTCAGCGAGTGCTCCGCCTCTCGGGCGCCCTGCAAGCCACACACAAGCCGTTGGCCGCACCATGTTTACAGACTTCTGGATACGCACGGGGATGCGATCGATTCATGGCTGTCAGAAGGCATAAGAGGTGTGCATGTTTAATCGCGGGCTATGTGAGTATGTTACCACGCATAGCAATTTTCCACTGTAATGGTCATTTGGCGAAATGTGATCATTCTTCGACTACCTGCGTGCACTGAGGAGATGTTAACATTCTATTCGGAGACACCAATATATATCATTGTTTGAGGCTCTGGTCAACCATTGAATCTCATTTGGATAGGAATTATCCAATTGAGATTTTTTATGATTTATTTTCAATTTTTTATATTTTTTATTTTCATAATTATCTTCATATTTTATTTGAATATTTATTGAATGGAATTTTATTTGGTAGACTGCGGGGAGGGGGGGGGGGGGTCGAAATGGTCCCCAATGATGCTGAAAGGTCAGGAAGTTTCCACCCTCGATGTTGCGGCTACAGATGCTTGCTGGGTGTTCCATAACTAGTGTGTGAAATCAGTATAGTGAATTATACTTTCTTAGGGAAAAAATGATTTCAGTGTTCTTTCAGGAGATTCCCTCAATACGTTGGGTTAATGTTCACCGGGCATTAGTACAATCGTACAGAAATAATTGAAGCAAATTTTTCGGCGTGTTTTTTCCGTTAATTGAGCTCAAGAAATGTGACCAACAGGGAAATATCGGCAGAAGCGTTTTCGAGAACAAAAATAGATAAAGGTAAATTGACGTTTAGTCTACAGCGCACACTTTTTGCTGAAGCAGACGTATTGTTGAAGCTTTTATGCCGCAAATGTGTTGGCTTAATCAACGATGAAATAAATGGGCAGAAAGTATGTTGATGTAACAGCGGAAAAGGAAGTAAATATTGAAGGCAGATAAGAGGCGTTCGGCGCAAATCCCATACACGAAATTTGTAATTTTTTACCCCTCATTCTTTCGGAGAATTTTGTCAATCCTCAAGTGCACATAAGCAACATAACACCATGCGTCTCTTCATGCAGACATAATTAATCAAAATGAGTATTTCTATTATTAATTATTAAATGTGTTGTAAATAATCATACGCTTCATAATATTGGTTATGCATTACATGTTATGTACATATAACCAAATAATACAAACATTCCGAAATGTATTCGAGTGCTCAGTCTCAAAGTTAACATTCCCGTTTTTTATATTCACGAAGCCCAAGCGCTGTAATTAACGGTAAACTAATGCTGATTGATAATTGGCATCATGGTTTAATCAAAACCTTATCATAAACAATAGAAATGAATTTTGGAATTCCTAAATAACGAACTATCAAATGATCATAGGGGTGCCTGCTGATCGCTTTGACAATGCCGGAGTTAGGAGTGAAATTATCTCAACTTGGTTTTTTGCTAGGTAAAACGTGGCTTTTCGTGTGTTTCAATAGGATTGACTACCGATTCGAGCGTGCAACCGCCGAAGGCCGTTCGTCTCGTAGGTGCAGTGATGCGGGGGGTGGCGGTTGAAGGTCCCCGCTGGATGGTGAGATCCAACAGGGCGCCGGCCACCCGTAGCTTAGGGCTTCTGCAACCAGTTTATCTCGCACCAGCGATGGCACTGACACAACTAGCTCGACTGTTTTCCCGGATGTGGTGGTAGTGTAGCGGATGTGTGTGAGCGAAGGGGGCGAGGGTGGACAAGGAAGAGAGGGAAATATCGCGCAGTCCGAGGTCTTTTTATTGGGTACTTGCTCTGGTATTCTCTGATGATTGAGAAGACACAGAAAACTACGATCAGAGCAGCGGCCGCTAGAATTAATCCTCCAGCCAGGGGCCGAACTCCCACTGGGGGAGCGAAAGCCGGTCGGGTTGCTACCGCGCTGGCTGAGCAACACGGGGCTCTCGGGCACAAACAGAGCAGCAGCGGCACCACGGGCGGCGGGCCACGCCCGCGCACGGCCCACGCAACCACGCGCCAGTCGTGGGACTGGCCGGCCCCGCCACGTACACACAGGAATGCCACCGTAGATGGCGATGGACGTCACGTGACGAAGACGCGCGCACGCCGCCTGCACGCTCGGCCCAGTGACGGTGGCGGGCACGGAGCCCAGCCCGTGTGCCAGCCCCTGAGAAAGCGGCCAGTCAGCAGAGGGCTATTGTGCCGAGCGCGCCCCCCGCCGCATCGCACAGCCAGCCCAGGAGGAAGGGCGCGTTTGAGGGCCAGCAGGCATGGGGCGGCGGCCAGCGCGTCCAGCAGCGGGCGCGCTAGAGGCAGCCACGGGCGTGCCGATGGAGGCATGGCTCGCTGCCAAGGCAGCCAGAGCTCCGACGCACTTCGGCACAACCTGGCTCTCAACAGATGCGGAGTAATGAGCAAGGAATGTGCGTAGAAATATTGGTCCAGTATTTGGACTTTTCAGAAATTTATCGCTTTGACTTTCTTGGATGATTATATTTTTTCTCACTAGCAATAGAATAGAGCATAAAAGAGAATGTAATAAATCTTAATATTTTGGATACTATTTTGGGCATAAAATTTATTACCTTTTTCCTGACATGACATTTTAAATAAATGTGGCAATTTTTCCTGAATAACCCGTGCGAACTGTGCTTTGGAAAGCGGTCCTGGCGTCCTCTCCCTCTCCTGCAAAAGTGCCAGCAACCTTAGACTATCCCAAGCGAAGTTGCAAAGGTTGGTAACCAGAAATCTCTTGTTCATTTTTTTTTTAAAATCACATAGCAGAATGCATAATTTTGTACCGCAGATACTATCACATACTTTAAATTGTTATGTCATTGTCATCCGTGTGTTTATGATATATCTTTGCAAGTTAGAAAAATATCATGATTAATATTTAAAAAACAAAGATAAATTTAATCAAAAAGTAACATATTTCGAATAATGTAAATTGCTTGTCTCGCATAATTCGCATATGGTTGAGGAAAACAATTCGGATATCGGGGAGAACGCGTTTGGACGCTCCCCTACGTACACTACTTTTTTTTGACTGAAATAATCTAAATCTAGACCCTTATGGGGATGGCCATAGTTGTGGAATTCTGTGTAACTGGAACGAATAAAGAGAATAACAAGCGAGGTGAACAAAGTTGGAACACCACGATATCTCGCTTCCGAGTAATTTAACAAGGAGTGAAATGTGTTGTGGGCATTGGGGACGTTGACGGTTTTATGTCCAGAAGAAAACAACGGCCCATCTCAGCATTCGTTCAGAGGATCAGAGAAATCGATGAAAATTGTTCGAGATTTGGTGTATCATAGACGAAGAAGCTGAAAGTTAAGTTCTTTATTACAGGCATTAGTGCGAATATTTAGATATAACATATTACGAGTGTGTATAAATAAGTCGCACAACGAAGGAATTGTCGTTTGTTGCAACGGGCAGGTCAGTCGAAGGCCATCTTGTTCAGTCACTGGGGAGGGGCAGGAGCGGCAGGGCCACTGGCGTGATGGCCTCTGCAGAGGCACCGCGGGAACGTTTGGCCCCCAACCCTTGGAAAATCGCCCACGAGTCCCTTCCGAACTGTTGTAACCTTTTGGAATCAATTTACTCGTTGCGATGACTGGTTCGTCTATCCACATCCTCTGCTTGTCTCTCCCAGAATTCAGATTCTAGCACTTAACTGGTTTTTGACAAATAAATAATATGCTGAATAAAAAACAACAAATTGTGCACAACAAACACGAGCAGTGATGGTTTTATATGGTATTGGTATCGGAGGTGGCTGAACGTTTGAACAGTTCTGGCGCTCTGAACGTGGGGGTGAATACTAGATTTGTTTCTTTAACAGCTTCAACAGGCGCTTGCAGAAGTCTGGTTATGCACTTGATATGGGCTGTCGGGTGACGCCGCGTCGATGGTGTTAATGTCTTTGAACCCCAGGTGAATGCGAAACAGTACCCTAACAATCGAGCTATCACACCGCACTACCAACCGGTTTCTTTCATTTCTCTTGCTGCCTATCTCTCTTTTACCACATAATCACAATGTACTTCAACTACCACTCATGTCGGGAAAGCATCGAGAAGCTTAGAGCTTGCCTATCTAGGGTGGTTCCGGGTGCGAGATTACCTGGCTGTGGAAACTGCAAGCCCACGTGGAAGATTACCCGCACTTTCCATGAAAAAAAGTTGCACCTGCCCTTTGAGGATATAGAGTTGGCTGCCCCGGAAAGACGAAATAATTCAAGTAAATATCAAGTATTGCGCGCGCTTGCAGCAATGTCTACAAAAGTAAGGGAAAAATGCATAATATGATGATCTTCCGTATTGTGTAAAAAACTTTCGGGAATTCTTTTTAGAATTTTTTTCATGATATTCAGAAATGCTGTGGCCATCCTTCTGATTATATTAAGAGGTAGCATAAAACAAAGATGGGTTGACGGTTGTGTGCATGCGCCGCACTTGAACTGCCTAAGATAATTAGAGGTAGATCAAATAGTTGGCAGAAAATGTTCGCAGAAATGCAGTTCTTGCGGCACACGTCACAGAGGCTACTATGATCCAAGGTACTCTGATGAAGCGAAGCAATTCTCCAACCCAAATGCGCCGCGCGCGCTCCGCCCGCTCACGTCTGCAAGCGGGAACGATTTCTGCGAGGCATCGGCCTGCGTGCGCACAAACGCCTTATCAGATGTTTGATGAAACGTTCGAAGGTGGCTCAAGGCGGAATTAGTTTTGGCGTTCAAAGTAAGGCGAATCAAAAAGTCTTGCTGTGTTAAACTATCATATCTTATTATCCCAAGGCGGGAGCGATTCGAAAATGATTTCGGCTGATATGGGAAGGGTATTGAACGGCGCACTTCACGAGATAAGGGCAGGCATTTGCGACATCCATTTTTTTCTCATCAGCACATAACGCGGTGTCAAAGCAAGGGGATTTTCGTAATTTTTTGTAGGTCGAAAGAAGGGGAAGGAGTACAGAATATGCACAAATTTTAATCTAAATACTGTTGTTCTGCGACTATTGAGAGATAACATTACCTTATTTATGCAATGAAAATTTTAACACCATGGCGCAAAATTTTCTTGATACGAATTTCCAAAAAGAACAACAACAACAACAACAAATGCTACACTACCTTATTATAATAAAGCTTAGTTTAATTAAAGATTAGAAATGAATTTCCGGGAAGATTCCAAAACGACACAGAATATATTTTCCCAACCTCAATGCATTTTTCTAATGGTTTGGAGCATTAATATTTATATATCTTGTCCTTCGACAACATTATTTACTTTCGCGGCATTATTGGTAAGTTTGGCCAATTTTTGAAAATCGCGCAGTTTAACAAAACTGAGACCTGTGACCACTTCTTTTAATACGGTTATATCAGTGTCAACAGAAAAAATATTTTAAGAGGTTTTTAGAAATGTTTTTATACTTTGCATTTGAGCAGAATTCGCAAACAAACTCGTAAACATATCGTACATTATTATTTTAACTAACTATAATTTTTTGGATCGAGTTGATTAAAAACAAAAATCTAATTTTCAAAATTCTAGTTTTTGGAATTTACCTTCAGCAAGTTTTCGAAAATGCAGATTTCACCGGAACAGGAACTGTGCATTTTTTTTACCGTTTTATATACATTACGAGTACTATAATTTAATGAGAAAAATTGAAGGCGTTTTTTGAGTACAAATGTTTTTAAATGTTGCTTAATATTGACGTTATTTTATGTGATTCTATTTTTTTATTGTTTTTTACAATTTCGTTGTTAGGGTATTTTTGGCATCACCTGGGTTTCAAATGCATAACAGCCATCGACGCGGCGTCACCCGGACAGCCCAGATCAAGTGCATAACAGACTTCTGCAAGCGTCGTGTTGAATGCTTGTTAAAGAAACAAATCTAGTATTCACCCCACGTTTCAGAGCTGCCAGAACTGTTCAAACGTTCAGCCACCTCCCATACCAATACCATATAAATTACCATTCACTGCTCGTTGGTTTGTTGGCGACAATTTGTTTGTTTTTTGATTCAGCATATATTTATTTGTCAAAAACAGTAAGTGCTAGATCTGAAATTCGTGAGGGAGACAAGCAGAGGGGAAGTGTGGATAGAACAAACAAGTCGATCGCAACGGAGTAAATTGATTCCAAAAAGGTTACAACAGTTTCCGGAAGGGACTCGTGTGGGCGATTTCAAGGGTTGGGGCCAAACGTCCCGCGGTGGCCGCTGCAGAGGCCATCACGCCAGTGGCCCTGCGCCCCTGCCCTTTCCCTCCGCAGGAACGCGCTCTGCGCTCGTCCAGACGCTGAACTGGAGATTGATTCATGTTTCCGAGGATGGCTACTGTTATGGCTTCGTATCCCGTTGGTGTAGTGATTGTTTCATTCTGTGCAGTGGCTGTGTTTCGTGCTGGTAGGTGGCGGCTGGATGGTGTGATGCGTCGCCGACCTACACATCGGTTCACTGGGGATTTCCACGACCTGGATTTTCCCCCCATAGGTGCATCGCTCAAGGAGGACAAAGTCCAGGCTCCTGAGTGGCCCCGACTCGTGTTGAAATGTACTGAGCGTGAGCGTTCGTTTGTGCACAAGAGAGAGGGTAGGTTAAGGCAGGAAAGTGCAAGGAAAGGAGAGGTCGGGGCGCGGTCCTTAACTGCTCCGGCATTCGCCTGGTGTGGATCGGAGAAAGCAAACTCCGCTCTGCTGTGCGGCCTCGCCCGGCACTCACCGACCCAGGAGAACTGGCTCTCGGAGAGCGCGTAGGGGCCGTCTGCGTCGCGCAGCTGCTCCTCGGCGATGGCAGAGAAGCCCAGGCTCATGCCCGAGGACATGGCGCACGCCGCCACCACCAGCCCCACCGCCACCTGCGCACAAGCCACGCCACTGCACCGCGTTGCACCGCCCATTGCTGGTCATTCCTACTGCGAAGGCCGTTAGCCCCGTAAGGGTGACGCACGCTTCTTTGTTTGGCTCGGGAGGCTGCGGTGGACTTCCCCCCTGGATGGCGAGATCCGCTGACGACCTACCGTTGGCTAGGGGGGGGGGTTCTGTAACCGGTCTCCCAGCATGTGTGGCAGTGTAGTGCATGTTAGTGCAAATAGAGGGTGCGGATTGAACAAGGTAGAGATAGGAAAGTGCGCGCGTGGTCCGTGGCCCGTTTGTTAGGCTACTCCTCCGACACACGCCTAGTGTTAATAGGAGAAACACGGAAAACTACGGATGTGAGCAGCCGGCCGCTAGAATTCTCCTTCACATTCGACCTAGCTGGCAAGCTAGTGCCTAAATCCCTGCCTCCGTCGAGACTCGAACCTAGAACCTCCCGGTCAG